ACTGAATTGAATGTTTGCTTTTGAACAAGACTTTTTCTGGGTAAGAGTTAAAAGGCTTAGAACAAGCTAACAGACAACAGAAATAAGTATATCAGATTTTTTAATGCAACAAACTACATGTTAATTGTTACCTTATTCTTTTTACCTTTAGTAGACACTTTTAAAAGTGTCTAACTCACCAACACGTGGTGTATAATGAAGACAGAACTATAATAAATTAGTTTTGTTCTGATGTTTTAGACCACTTGCAAAAAAAAAAGTTTCCAAGAACTTTGTTTCTACCTGAATACATTTGCGGTATCAATAGTCTATTGACCTTGGTTGGTGACAGTCTCAGTCAGTGTTTCTCTCCATTGAGGAACCACTAGAAGATGTTTAAGCAGAGAAGCGTGGTACTCGGGGTGGGTTTCGGAAGATGGATTTGGTAGCCGTGAGTATGGGGAGAGGCGACAAGACCAGCTTTTGAAATCTAGGGTGGCTGTGGGAGTGGGAAGATATGTGAGAGACATTGTGAAGGAAAAGTAAAGAGTTGGGAACTTCTCCTGTAAAGGGAAGCGAGAGAGAAAATTTCACGTCAGAACGGAATCAGCGTCTTCAACTGAGAAGGTCTGAGGCTCTGGCTTTCCGGGGCATTTGTCGATAATCCCGCTGTTTAGGAAACGTAAAAAGAGATTTAAAAATATACCACAAAGGCTAAAACAGCAAGTATAGGCAAAAAAACGCAAAATCAAAATTAAAGACGAACAAACAGAGAAACATCAGTGAAGAGCATCACAAAGGTCGTGGGGAGCCTGAGGGATTTGCCTTTTCCAGCAAAAGGGGCCTTTGTCAAGAGGGGTCAACCGGGAGTAAAGAAGAATGTGCTGTGCGATGAACTTGAAGCCGTGCGGCTGCGACCGGATGAGTGGAAAGGGGGGCATCAAGTTGATGTTCTAGTCAGATTCCCTGGAGCCTGTCGCACTGTAAATTCAAGAAGCTCATAAAAGAAAACCATGTCTCAGATCTACAAGCTGGGCAGGCCTGGTTCACCAGCGAGGCCAAGCAGCATTCCGTAGAGCCGCGAAGCTGTGCGGAAGCAGAGAGTATGTCCAGAGGCGTGTGTTTGATGGGAAGGCCCCTGTTAGCACCCGGGATCAAAGCTTTTCAGAGGACAGGCGAACATCGGCTGCTGCGTTGTTTTTCTGCTTTTGCCAGAGAAGGGATCGCCTGCCACGTCTGAAAGGCATCTTGGCCCCTTGTTCTCTCTCCCTCCCTTATCCGGCATCCCCTGGCAATTCTAATGGCTGCCATCCATCTTGTTGCATTTCTGTTGTCATAGATGCGAATCTGTGCAGAAGTTTCCACAGATCCACAGTGAAATGGAAAAAATAAATAATGATGGGGAGAACGTTTTCATAAAGCTTTACTGGTCCTTGTCAAGAACCTTCACCCTGAAGTTAGGTCCTTTCTATCTGTGGCATGAGTAATGGCCTTTCTTTATGAAATGATGCTAGTTAGAGGTGAGGAGTTTTTATTTAAAAACTCTCTGTTGGGCCCCAACTTTATTTTTTGTGCTGGTTTGTGAAATCGGCAAGTCTGGGAAGGAGTCCCTGCTTGCCGTGTCGCCCCGCCCCTGGGCTCCTTGCTTTCCTTTAAAACCTTCGTCACAGTCCCCAGTGATGAGCCTCCCTCTACCATATCAGGGACCCTACGCGGGCCCTCCGCTTCAGTGGGCTCTTCTGCTCCCTGACCTCACAGCCCGTCCGTCCTCAGTCCTCTGCACCCTCTCCCTGGCTGTCTTCCTGGCTGGAATGTGTCCTGTGCCTTCCTTACTCACCTGTATAAATCCGCATCGATTTCAAGGCCCAGCTTAGGTCCCCACCTTGACGTGGCCCTTCCCTGCTCTGCTCCAGGACGATCGCTCCATCACCTGCCCTCAGAGGGTGGGGGACTCTGGACCACCAGACTTCTGATGCTCTGTGTACCCACGATCCCCTCGCACCGTGACTAGCCCACAAAGCTCATTCAGAAACTGGTAGGTGACTGGCGGGGTAGACGCTCTGAGGGCCCTTCCGAAATAGCAGCTTTCCTGGCCGGCCCTGTGCGAGCCCTTCAGCCCTTTTAGTGCCTTAACGTAGATGCAGCCACTCGTCTGAAGGCACAAATTGAGGACTTCCAGGGCTAAACTGTGAAACTGGGCCACTAAGATGCCCGCTTAACCCTCTGTCATTCTAACTGCACTGCCTACAAAGGCTGCTCGTACTTTTATTTTCCAAAGAACCAAAGGCTAATAGGTTAGCGTCTGAATGTGCAGCATCCGATGCTCTATGGCCATGCGCTCAGCATCCTGTGATAGGAAATGCCTGCCCAGCAGGACAGGGAACGTGGGGTAGGCCAATGAAAGAGCAGAGGCAAAGGTTGGAGAAGTGCTTTCTGCAGGAGAAAGGTGACAGACCTGCTTTAGATTGGACGGAGCTAGAAAACATAAACCAGCAAAGGGGTCGATAAAGGGCCGGTGAGTGACAGCAGCAAGAATGAATCAGCAGAGTGCTGGCAGGTGGCATCACCTGTATAAAGCTACCGTTCTCCACTTCAAGTCAAGCCCTGTGATTTGCAGAAGGGCTAAGGGACCTGGGTCCAGTGCATGAAAGTTCCAGTTATGGCCCCATCGTGAGATGCAAAGAGAGCCAGACCAAGTCACCTGACCACATCATATTTTCGTTTTTCCACCTGTAAAATGGGAAGGGGGTGGGGGCATAGTGCAGCACTGAACTGCCTTTTACGTAGGAGCATTCCAAAGGATGTTAGTTTATTTTTTCAATTTTTCTATAGCTTCTTTTTTTTTCTTCCAGTATTATTGAGATATAATGGACAGACAGCACTGTGTAAGTTTAAGGTGTACAGCATAGTGATGGGACTTCCATACATCACGAAAGGATTATCACAATAAGTTTAGTGAACGTCCATCATCTCCTATAGATACAACATTAAAGAACGAGAAAATACACATTTTTTGCTTGTGATGAGAACTCTTGGGATTTTTCTCTCTTTACAACTTTTATATATAACTGACAGCAGTGTTAATTCTATTTATCACGTTGTACATTACATCCCTAGTACTTACTTATCTTAGGGTGTTCGTTTCTTTAAAACACAATAGCTTATTTTTCATCGTATCCTATGAGAAATGTAACGCGCTGCAAGAATTATGTCCAGGTTAAGATTGCACTTTAAGCTGGTTTGGTCAGTAATTCTGTAACTCTGCTTTGCTGCATAAATAAACCTATGCTTGTTTGTTTCAAGAGTAATAATTTCTTCAAAAAAGCAGTTTTGGTTTCTTTCACTGATGCCTTAATCTGCTGGGGGCATTTGGGTTGCTGGAGAGGGAAGGGAGTCTGCTCTTTCACTTCAGCTCTGCCTTTTATGGGTCCAAACAATGATTACACTCAACGGCGCATTTTCTCTCTCTCTCTCTCTCTCTCTATCCCTCCCTCTCTCTCTCTCTCTTTCTCCATCCGTCGCCCGCCTCTTTCTCCTGAGTGCCCGTTTCTGCCGCTGGCGAAGCAGCAGGGCGAGTTGTCAGATCAAGTCAGGCAAGCCCACGATCTGAGTGATGCTGTCCCAACTGAAGTAACGGGCCCTGAACAGACATCCGTCTCCTTCCTCCCTTCTGCCTTCCTAGCTCCGCCATGACATTGGCCTTCTAGAGTCTGCTCCTAATTCCTATAACCACATTTTTCAAAGCTAATTTTTACAATCTAGAAGCCCTCTCTCCTTCTATTCCAAAGTATCATTTAAGTCCTTTTTTCTACCCCTTATTCCCTTGTTGCCCCACGTTTACACCCATTATTAGGATCCTCTTCACTGTTTTTCCTCCTCTGGTAGCTTCTGTCTTTCGCTAATAAGACTCTTTCTCTCCTAGTTCTGCATCTGGGCTTATTTTAAGTAGGGTATGGCTCAGGTCTCCATTTCACTTAGACCTTTTATTGATGAAGCAGCCTTAGTATTAATATGAAATCCAATCTTAAGTATATTTTTTGTCCCAAGGAAGTCCCTGATTTTTCATCCAGAATTTACATTTTTTTCCCTTTCTTCAAACCACCTTGTCATTTTTGAAATTTTCTCTGGTGCTGCCACCAATAGAAAAGTCACCCCCAAAATCAATTTTTTAGTAAAATGTAGTATCTGTAATGCATATTTATGATAATAATAGCTTTTTAAATATATCCTAACACTTAAATTATAGGTGCCTCTTATATTTATATGCTAAAAAAAAAAGTGAGGATATCATAAAAAAGCAAATAGTCATTAAATGTCAGGAAATATTACATCTCATTTCAGTAAACATGATAAATCATCATTCAAGATATCACCCACTCCTACAACATGAGTATAGACAAGATAGATTATCTCCACCCCGCCAACATTAAGTCCCAATTTACCATTATAAAGTAGGTCAATCACTGAGAAATAAAGTCTTTAGAAAAGGCCTTATTATATTAATTTGTTGAAGATGTCTCAGGATACCAAAGGAATATCTTTACATATGCAAATACTTACATGCATGTACATATACTGCTTTACAAAATTATATATATATTTTTCCATATTGCACTGCCATAGAGGGCATAAGTTAGTAAAACTTTCAAAAAGGATATAACAGTGAATTAAATCTACTTTATAGAAAATATGGAGGAATACTAAGAAATTTAATATCAGCAAACATGTTCCCTTTGAAACAGCAAATTAGATGTGCAGGAGGAATGTGGTCACACTTGAGAGAATAACGTGCTGGGGAGGGGAGCTGCTCTGTTTACTCTTGCCCTCGCAGGTGAGGCTTCTCTGTGTTCAACAGGCTTCCGATCACTTCAAAGCATGTTTGAAGTCCTCACTGCACAGCTCATGCACAAAGACAAATATTCTTCCAAATGTGTGCAGCTACTGTTGCTGCAGACTCTCTCATGAGTAAGAAGAACTTGCAGTTTCCTATTTAATGCCGAGTTCATGCCTCTTTTATTCAGCTATGACAGTGAAGGTCGTCTGACAAATGTGACGTTTCCAACCGGAGTGGTCACAAACCTCCATGGAGACATGGACAAGGCTATCACAGTGGACCTTGAGTCATCCAGCCGAGAAGAAGGTGTCAGCATCACTTCAAACCTGTCCTCCATCGACTCATTCTACACTGTGGTTCAAGGTAAGCACGAAAGCAGAGCTTTCAATGGCCCAGTTTAAAATACTACTGGTGGGGCTTCCCTGGCGGTCCAGTGGTTAAGACTTCACCTTCCAATGTAGGGGGTGCGGGTTCGATCCCTGGTCGGGGAGCTAAGATCCCACATGCCTTGGAGCCAAAAAACCAAAACATAAAACAGAAGCAATATTGTAACAAGTTCAATAAAGACTTTAAAAATAGTCCACACCAAAAAAAAAAACTCTTTAAAAAATAAAAAAATAAATAAAATAAAATAAAATAAAATACCACTGGCACCGGGTAGAAAGTGGCAACCCGCATTTTATAAGATGAACCAGGAAAGAGAAGGTGGAAATATAAACCCCTAGAGATATCGATGGGATGGTCTAATGTCTACGTGTAGTGTTTATTTAGTGATATATACGTATATAAAATCACATAATATCTAAAACAATCTGTTAACCTAGAAATGACGGTTTTTTTCTTTCCCATTTAATAAAACACGTTAATTCCCGCTTTTCACTTGCATCTAAAGGCCCTTTGGCATCATCATCACTGCCATGGAAGGCCAGCAGGCCGAGCTTTCCGAATCCGTGCACGATGCAGCATTTGAATCGCGTCTCATGCCATCACTGGGGATTGTGTACCCATATGTGTAATAGCTCAACTTTCCATTTTTTCATTCAGTCTGTAGGTATATATGTCCAATAACTCCATGATGGACCCTCCCACCATATTCCTTTTTGATGTAATCTTGAAAAGGCCTGTTTACAATGACAATTGCAACTGTGAGGTCATTGCTCTAAGACTCATTGCTAAATCTGAGTTAAGCTTCTCTGACTTTTTTTTTTACCAATTCTGTCAGGTAATCTCTACAGTCATCTAAAATCAGTATTGCTTGAATTCATTGCTTCCCCAAATGGTCCTGTATTATTCAAAATTTTTAACTTGAGGCAATAGCCTACAATATGAGAGGGTGTTTTGTACAAAATATGACTTCCTTTTTTTTTTTTTTAATTTATTTGTTTTTGGCTGCATTGGGTCTTTGTTGCTGTGCATGGGCTTTCTCTAGTTGTGGCGAGCGGGGGCTACTCTTCGTTGCGGTGCACGGGCTTCTCATTGCGATGGCTTCCCTTGTTGCGGAGCACAGGCTCAAGGCACGCGGGCTTCATTAGTTGTGGCACGCAGGCTCAGTAGTTGTGGCGCACGGGCTTAGTTGCTCCGTGGCATGTGGGATCTTCCCAGACCAAGGCTCGAACCCGTGTCCCCTGCATTAGCAGGCAGATTCTTAACCACTGCGCCACCAGGGAAGCCCGACTTCCTTTTTTAAAGTCAATTTCAGGGGGAAATATCTCCTTATATTTTTGGTATAGAAGGTACAGATATTAAATCATTTCAAAACATCTTTAACAAAAGATATAGGGATGACTGTTGGGAAGATGTCTTCTAAACCCTTGGAGGAGACACACCAGCCTCTGAAAAGAACACATACTTGGTTCTTTGCAAAACATTTACTGGAGGTCGAACCTTCATTTATTTCATCAGGCAAATAAAGTAGAGAAGGACTTTAAATTCCCTAAAGTTTGCCTTTAACATTCAGCCAAATCTGTTACAGCATGAGATGCCAGAAATCGAAGTTGTTTTGTTATTTTCTAAAAGGATATCATTAAGTACTTTTCATTCCCTTATAAATGGAGTGTAGTCAATGTTTTAGAAATTCATGTCACTTCTAACCCCGCAAGCGATCTGGTGTTTAATGCACACCTACAGTTCGTGTTTTCTGCTGCTTGTTTTCTAGATCAGTTAAGAAACAGCTACCAGGTTGGTTACGACGGCTCCCTTCGAATCCTGTACGCCAGTGGCCTGGATTCGCACTACCAGACTGAGCCACACGTTCTGGCCGGCACAGCTAACCCAACAGTTGCCAAAAGAAACATGACTCTTCCTGGTGAAAACGGTCAGAATTTGGTGGAATGGAGATTCCGAAAAGAGCAAGCCCAAGGCAAAGTCAATGTCTTTGGTCGAAAGCTCAGGGTAAGTCAGTGTCAGAGCGAGGTGACAGCCACCCGGTCCTCCGTGTCATGCTGTGGCCTGTCCATGAGGGCGGGCCTAGGACTCATCTCCTGTTCACACTCAGGGTAACACCTTACCTTAGAGCATGAGTTACAGCCAACCATCAAGCCATCAGATCGCTCATAGAAAAACTATTTGAGAAAAGTGTTTTCTTAATATAGCTTTGATTAAAAATCAGTTCTTCCCATAGAGAATGGACTTGAGGATATGGGGAGGGGGAAGGGTTAGCTGGGACAAAGTGAGAGAGTGGCATGGACATATATACACTACCAAACGTAAAATAGATAGTTAGTGGGAAGCAGCCGCATAGCACAGGGAGATCAGCTCGGTGCTCTGTGACCACCTAGAGGGGTGGGATAGGGAGGGTGGGAGGGAGACGCAAGAGGGAGGAGATATGGGGATATATGTATACGCATAGCTGATTCACTTGGTTATACAGCAGAAGCTAACACACCACTGTAAAGCAATTATACTCCAAAAAAGGTGTTAAATTAAAAAAAAAAATCAGTTCTTCCCTGGGAGACTAGGGTAGCGCATGTAGCACAATTCCAGATAGCTGGATGGCCGACAGATTCTCGTCTTACTGATATTGCCCTAATAACCTTACGCTTTTCCTTTACCCACTCAGGAGTGATGGCTTCCTAATGGGATGGGGATGGGTAAGAGTTGGATGAAATGTTAAAAGTATTCCAAGTCATAAATATGTATCTTGAAAGAGGTGGGTTGGCCTTTGAAAGGTGGATCCTTCCTTTGCATTCTCAATATTTTTAAAGTACAGCTTAGGCACCTAGAAGAGGACCAACGTCGGAAACCCCCTGCCACCTCCTCCCTATTGAAGGGAAACCCAAACTGACGTTACTGTTATGAGAAGTGTGATGACGTTGCTGATTACGCTAGTGTAATTGACCTCTGCAAAGTGTTCTCTGTGTTGCCTTCTTAGGTGTTTTTATTCCTCCATCTCACATTGTGGGCCAACGAGATCTAGAAAGCAAGCTGTGCTTTATGATAGCTGTTTGGTAAAGACATCATAGATTAACTACTGAAACACAGGTTACAAGGAACCACCTTCAAACCACTATAAACTGAACTGGATTCATTCTTTCTATTAGCAAACAGATTTTCATTTATCAGATAAATGTGGATAACTATTCCTAAAATTACTTCCCTTGCTGTTTAAAAAAAAGTTACTTAAAATCAAGGAGAGACAAAAAACATGGAGGATACCATTCATGTCCTTTTTTCAGCACCAAAAAATGGTTAAATTATTATTATTATAACAGGCCAACATTATTTCCCAGGACAAGCCCTCATGGTAAGAAACAGCTACTACATATTGTCTCTGGCTATTTCCAAGAAATAGAAATGAAGTGAGAAGGAATCAGTGCCTCAAATACAGACTGTCCAACTCACAGTTACATTCTAATTCCTCTTCAGTTGCAAGGCAGGGGTTGGGACTCTAGATGCACGGTCTTCTGAAACCAGTGTTGTGCTCCCACCTCACCCGTCTCCCAGGCTATGGGAGCCTGGATGCCCTAGCTCCGGGGCCCTGCACCAGGAGTTCTGGTGGATAGGAGCTGGGGAGGCTGGAAGGAGGTTATCCCGTGAGAAGGGCCAGAAGAAGATGGAATAGAACCTCAGAAAGAAGAGCATGATTAGGGGGCAAGTAACATCATGGGAAGAAAACAAGCTCCAGGCTCATTCCGGGGTCGCTTTCAGAGGGTCTTGGTCTGTTACCAGAGTCAGCACCAGCCCTGGCCTTTTCTTCTGCCGAAACAAGGAACTGAGCTGCCTGCGTGCCTGTCGGCTGCTACCACTGACCGCTGCCCCGGGCCGTGCTTCCTTGGGTCACTGCAAACTGGAAGCTAGTTCACAGGCTTTGTCTTAGTCAGCTACCCCTACAGCAGGTGTGGTGTGCCCGTACTCACACATACACACATGCACAGAGTCCCACGTGTACCTGGACACGGGACTTACTTCATCAAAAGATACGAAGGTTCTGCTCACATTTGTGCTCAAAAAATGTGGGTTCTAGATCAGGCTCCACTTTTTACTAATAATAGATCTTATAGGAAAATCCTAACATCTGTAAAGCTCATTTTCCTTACCTATATGATGATATCCATATCATGACGGCAATAATACGATATTGTCTAGATAATATCCTGACCTTATGACACAGACACGATATAGATTAGCTGTATTATGGATAAATATAATTTGCCCTACCCTGCCGCTGTCTCACACAATTGTTACAGAACAAATGAGATAATGTGAAAATCCTTGAAAAACGAAAGGCATGATTACATATTCTGTAACCCTAACCCAGAGAATCTGAACCATGGGCGCAAACGGTGGGCATTTATTCCCACACAACAGATGGATAGGAAAAATCTGGTTAACTCACTTGTTACGAAAACACAAGAAAGATTATGGGAAATGCTTTGCCCAGAAACTGACCACGTCACATGTGGCCCACTGTTCTTCGAGACAAGCTAGTCTAAGTGCATCCTTCTTTTTCCTTTTTAATACTGATTTTCTAGACATAAAAAAGGAATTAAGAAGAGTAGAGGAAAAAGCCGATTTTAAGTCTCTGATTCTCAGTCTCAGATTCTAAAGGAAGAAAACACCTCCCTTTGGGGAGGAAGAGACCAGTGCACACAGGCATGGGTGTGAGTTTCTTTCTAAATACCAGAACGAAAATGCCTCAGCAAGTCATTTCAGAAGATACACTATTTAAAACGGCCTGTTCGTTCACACTGAAAGGAGATTTCCAGCTGATACGTGTGATGGCTCACATAGAGACAGTGCCAAGATCACAAGGGAGGGTTGCGTACTTTCAAGAGAGATATGGGAACATATGTTTATGTATAACTGATTCACTTTGTTATAAAGCAGAAACTAACACACCGTTGTAAAGCAATTATACTCCAATAAAGATGTAATAAAAAAAAAGATAAGATTGGATGTGCTAGCTCGGCTTGCAAATTTCATCCTCTGGATTCTGAGAGGAATTCTAGGGAGAAAGCAATGGCGTGAAAGTCTCGTTGGAGGACCGGACCTGTGATCTGCCAAATTAGGGCGCAGAGGAGGAAGGAGGGGCGTGACGCGAGGCCACCGGGGCCTCTGAATCAGGAATCAGAGTCAGAATCAGCCCGAAGAGCCGCCCGTTTTTACTCCACCCTTTCCTGAAACAGAGGACGTCTCCTCTCTTACCTTTCATTATCTCCTAGCAGAAACGTCTTTTCATTTTTAAGTTACTGGCCTAAATCTAGCTATGGCCTGACACAGGGTGGGCCCTCAAATATTTATTCAATAAATGAAAGAATGAGGAAGAGCCAGCCTTAGAATCGGGTTATTTCATGGCCTCTAGATCTTCCTCAGAGAGAAGCTGTAGGAATAGCAGCACATCCTTGCAGATGTTTGACTGCAGGAAACCTAACACTCAGTTGAATAGATCACATGGATATAATAGGTATAACACTAGATGGAGTGGTTTAAAAAGTAAAAAAAAAAAAGCCAAGGAGTACAAAAGGAAAAATTATACAAGAAATGAGCAACATGGAAAGCATTTTCTGTGAAACTGCATTAAGGGAAAGGGGGTTGGATACATAGGGATACCCAGCAGAGGCAATCATGGCAGAGATGTGGGAAAACAGAACAAAGATGAGACAATTCCTTACCTTACTCGCTTGTACCTACATTTTTTTTAAAAAAGACATGCATAATAGTTGCTTGTCCTTGTCTTACAGTATTTGGTAAACAGTCCTAATTTTTGTCAGTGTTGGACTTTAGAACCAGCCTTTGATCAATTCCCAAAAATTGTTATGTTATCCTAATAATAAAAGTCATCTTCTAAACTTGCCCAGAATTCTGATGCTTAAAGGAAAACATTTAGTGGATTACATGAAAAAGAAATTCTCGAAACTTGAAGGCCGAAAGGGTGTTTCGAGGCATGCGTAAATATGATAGCTTATTTAACTCTTATCATGCCCATCACGTCTGTGTGCCGTCCTGTATCTCACTTTCGTCTGACTGGCAGGGGGCCTAGAGTGGGATGGTGCAGAACAGTTAGCACTTGCTGACGTGTGGAGGGGACACAGAACCGCCTGCAGACAGTTGATGTTCTAACAAGGACACCAGGGAGTTGAGATAGTGTCACAAACAGTCTGGATACCTGAATACAGGCTGACTGTGCTTTGTGTCGTCAAACATACAGACATTGTTTTAACCTCTTTGTGCCTCAGTTTTTCAAGCGTTACAGAGGGAAAATAACTACCCACTTCCCGATATCAAAGGGGCATTATGATTGATTGCAGGCATGCTGGACATGATCTTTGAACATGGGGATTTTCCATGCTTACTTAAAAGAAACGCTGTAGGGCTTCCCTGGTGGCGCAGTGGTTGAGAGCCCACCTGCCGATGCAGGGGACACGGGTTCGCGCCCCGGTCCGGGAAGATCCCACATGCCGCGGAGCGGCTGGGCCCGTGAGCCATGGCCGCTGAGCCTGCGCGTCCGGAGCCTGTGCTCCGCAACGGGAGAGGCCACAGCAGTGAGAGGCCCGCGTACCGCAAAAAAAAAAAAAAAAGAAACGCTGTATATCACAAAGGAATTCATGGTGAGCTTTTATCCAGACACAACATTTGGATTCATTTTTATGTAGCTGGAGGTATCGTAACGATCTGATAGAAGGTTTTTCATCTTAGGTGAACTACTCAATGTAACTTGATATTTTTTTATGTTAAAAATATTTATTAAAAGGCCACTGGGGCAACAATGCTGGTCCTCTATGACTGTCAAAAAAAAGTTTGCAAAACAGTTGTGATTTCCTCCAGGTGCAGTCAGCGGACGGTGTTGCAGATGGAAACGTCCCTTGACTTGCGCATTTTGTCTGCAACACCCAAAGGAGAACGTGCAGGCAGGTTTGAGAGGGATGGAAAAAAACGAAACATCTGTTAGTATCTTCTGAAATGTTACCTGTTGAATAACAGTGGCTGGTGTCTGGAAACAGTAAGAACAGTTAAAACCTTGGCTTGTGTTGTGAACGTGGAGAAAAACACAGCCACATTCTAATTCTTTCCTCATTTCTTCAGTTGGAGGACACAAGAGAGGCATTTGTCTGGATAAAAAGAAAAATGTTAACTGCTATCCAGATGTTTGGTCTCGCGGTGCTTCTAGATGTTTCCATATGGTGACATGCGTGATGTGGCAGCGTTAGATGTTCTCCTGGACGCTTTGGTGTCGTGCAGCCAGAGTCCCAAACCAGAGCGACAAATCAGAAGCCCGGTGGTGGGCGCAGGCATGCAAAGAAGGGGTCCCAGGCCTGCCTCTGGCCCTTCTCCCTTCCTGACCAAGCAGCCATACTGGATCTGCAGAGCAGATTCCCTGTACTCTACCCGTAGGAAATTCTGCAGAGACAAAGGAGGGTTCAGGAAGGCAATAAAGACTCGAGATACAAATTAAAATGAATACAAGTAAAACGCAAACAGATGGGGTGCGACTGCGGGCTGCCGTCCATGGAAACTAACTACACAGGCGGCCTCGCTTGGCTATTCGTAGCCTGGAATAACCTGAGGACGGAAAAAGGAGGGCAGACCTAAACGCTCTGTTGTTTTGTTTTGGTTTTTAAATCACAATGTGAGAAAAACAAGAGCCCCAGGAAACCATTTAAATTGTGCAAAGCCTCTTCCTTAAGGCATCACAAGTGTGCAAATAGAAGCTGAAGAGCTGGATTCTGCCAGTTCAGTATTGAGCTCTTTGATATCAAATCACATCTATAAAACTTCAGACTTCAAAATACGTCCTTGTAAGCTAGTAGCTTCCTTCCAAGGTACACAAAGCATCCTGCAAACCTAAACTCATCAAGTCTCACAACATTCACAGACGGCCGAGCAGCTATTCTGCAGACATTTCCATTTGGGAAAACAGAAGCCTGGAAAGCCTTCAGCTGGCTGGTCAGAATCATATAAACTCACTGAGAGCCCAGGGCCTCGCTGCTTCTAGACCTTGTGGTGTGTGGAAATGGGGCTTTCGGACTCCTGGCTGCCCCCTCCGACACAGGTGCACACCCCACAGCAACACATACCAGTTGCTCTATGGCTCGAGGGGTTTTTCTTTTTCCTGCATCAGCTGGATCTGCAGTGACAGAACTGAAAACTTAAGGCCTCCTCACTTGCATCCAGGGCTCTGCTTTCTCATTCGTTGTGAATCATCTGGGCGCTTCCCCGGCACCCTGACCCCGACCACTTTGCCTGTTAGGCATGAACTTCTTTTCAGCTGATATCTTTACCCTTCCATGGACTTCACAGTCCTCCCCCTGAAGAGCTAATTGGAAAAGTTTAAATAAAGCTTAAGGAGAATTTTTTCATGGGCCTTGTTTAATGGCCGTGATACAAGGCACAAATTTTTATCCCAGATTTTACATAAATATACGTGTATATTATGTATGGACATACATGTATGTTTACATATATTGGGGGGGGGTGTGTATAAGTGGTGGGTATATATGTGTGTGTATATAAGTGGTGTGTGTGTGTATAAGTGGTGTGTGTGTGTGTATAAGTGGTGTGTGTGTGTATAAGTGGTGTGTGTGTGTGTGTGTAAGTGATCAGCTGGCACTGTCTGTTTTGAAGGTTCTAGCTAGGACATGGTCAAGTAAAATTAAGATTTTCCCATTTAACTTGTAACAATCCAAACAGTTAATAAGCATTTTGGTATGGACAAGCCACCATCACCACAAAGGTGCAGTAGAAAACCAAAGAATGGACTGGCCCTTGTCTTCTGCAAACACTGTAGACCATGTGTAAAGTAGAATTTAACCAAGGCCACGTGTCCAGCACAGTAGCAGATGCTGGCTGGTGTGTGCCCTGGACCACAGACAGTAACAGCCAGATGTAGTCAGAGATTCTGGACGTGACACAGAGACCCTACGACAACAGCATGGGGCTAGATTTGTAAAGTAAGCACAGTGGTCAGACTGTAGATGTGGGAGTGAAGGATCTGAAGTCCTTGCCAGTGAACCAGATGTTATCAAAGAAAAAGGCATTCCAAAAAATTGTGACACTTCAGCACGTAGCCAAAACCAAGGGTCATGTTTGTAACCTCCCGCTATTTAAACTAATTAATAATTTACAGTAATGTGGGTTCCACATTATCTGCTCTTAACTGCTCCTCGAAGGGCTAGAATCACGTTTACCACCGTTTTATTTAATGTAGCCATGATTAATCTAGTAAGCAATTATTTCCCAATGTCTTCTGGGCGGGGCGGGGGAGGGATTTGAGTAATGTGCAGAGATGTCAGGTTTACCACCTTCCTATCTTCTGAGCAAACTTGAAAGCAAATGCATTTCGGCATTTTTCTTATCAGTTGCTTAAGGTTACAAAATTTAATTGAAAAGGTTTTGAACAAATGCCAGGCTGTATTTCTGCTTAATGAAACCTTTTAAAAGAGCAGTTAATCTACTGCCTTGCACTTGTGCCCAAGAAGTTGCTAAATTAGTTTACTGACAAAGAGAATCAATCATCATAAGCGGTGTTTAAACAATAGTGGGGACCCTGAGGGGTAATAAGGGGCTGGTACTGGAACGGCGTGATTTATTTTATCCTCTTGTTTGCGTGGTAACAGGTTAATGGCAGAAACCTCCTTTCAGTTGACTTTGATCGAACAACAAAGACAGAAAAGATCTATGATGACCACCGTAAGTTCCTCCTGAGGATCGCCTATGACACCTCAGGGCATCCGACTCTCTGGCTGCCAAGCAGCAAGCTGATGGCCGTCAATGTCACCTATTCACCCACGGGTCAAGTGGCCAGCGTCCAGCGGGGAACTACGAGCGAGAAAGTAGATTACGACGGACAGGGGAGAATCGTTTCCCGGGTTTTTGCTGACGGGAAAACATGGAGTTACACGTACTTGGAAAAGGTACGCCTGCACACGGAGGGTAAACACAGGTATTTTCCAGCAGTCACCCAAGCGCACTTCCGGGGGGACCAGTGTCACGTGACTGAGCCCCGCTTGTTATTCTGAGTGCCCACATGTAAATCACAGCTGTAGAGCACTGATGAATTTCTGCATCAGCCACGCTGTTTCTCCTCAGTTAGGTTCTCCTCTCCGAGACCCTTTTACGTGATTTGTGCTGTGAACACACAAGCCACAACAGCGCCCACCTGCCAACCTCATGCGTCAACAACATTCACAAATTAGACCTCGAGCTTGTTAGGCATTTGTAAATCATCTCCGTGCGAGCTGTTTCATTTGAGAAAGAGCCTTACGCATTCACACAGTTAAAGCTGTCAGTTTTGCGTTGTTGCCCGCAGAGCTTCGACATAACCATAAAAAGCACATACACCTGACTTATGCATTAGTAACCAAAAGAGGCTGTTTTTTAAAAAAGCCGCGCGTCTGGTCCTCTGTGGCCTCTCCCCTTTCTTCTGCATGTAAAGGGCAGCCATTCTTGGGACCTGTGCACAACACCAAACAAGACTTCAAGTCATACGTGTGCAGAATGCCAGGTCGTAGATGCCAGCTTTCGGGTAGTGACTGGGGTCAAGAGAGAATGAAAGGAAAAGGAAAAAGGAGGGACTTCCCTGGTGGTCCACCGGTTAAGAATCCTCCTTCTAATGCAGGGGATGCGGGTTCGATCCCTGGTCCGGGAACTAAGATCCCACACGCCACGGGGCAACTAAGTCCACGCGCCACAACGGCTGAGCCCGCGCGCCCCAAGGAGAGATCCCATGTGCCTCAACTAAGACCCGAAGCAGCCAAAGATAAATATTTTTAAAAAAAGAAGAAAGAACAATAGAGGAAAAGACCACCCCTCTGTAGTTCCTTTCTGAAGAAGTAGAATCCACCAAGAAGCATATTCATGGGAGGTTTCACCTGCCTTTGAGACGCAGGTTCGCACTGGTTTTGCGTTTGGGTGCCTCTCAGCTCAGTGCACCCACACTGCCAGGGGCCACACGGCAGCAGAGGCACAGACACAGCTCCCAGCCTCACTGCCTGCCCCCTCCTCGGTTACACAGAATAACCCTGTCCTCCGAACACTCACACGCACGTCACTGTCGCGCTCACTCGCCCCGTGGTGTCTCCACCAGAGATGCTCTGGACCTACCTCTCCCCTGCACCTGAGCCGTCCTGGCTACTTCCTCTTCCTGAGGACCAGTTCGTGTTCAGGGTTCACCTTCAGGCAGCCCGCTAACTCTACAGTGCTTCCAGCTACCACCCTACTTGCCAATTTCTCCTCTTGCAAACCCGCCTATGTGCCCTCCTTAGAAGAGACGCACCCCTGAGACAACGGAGGAGACCCATTAGGTGACAGTTTCCCTCCAGACTCGTCATCACACGCTATGGTTAGTCCTCCGGCTGTTATTTGTTGAGAGAGCACAGAGGAAGCCCCCTCCACACTTACCTTCCTGAGAGCAAATCCCGACACCTGGAGAATAGCTCATCCTGCAACCTACAAGCCCCGAGACAACTCCTGCCTGAAGTTGCTGGGAGTGGAACACTACCTCATTCTGCAACACTCTTCCCAATTTAAATTCAGCGCATTACAGAGAAGAGTAACAGAAATATAAACCCCCAGACTGGGAATTCCCTGGCGGTCCAGTGGTTAGGACTCCGCGCTGCCAATGCTAGGGTGTGGGTTTAATCCCTGCTCGAGGAGCTAAGATCCCGTGAGCCGAGCAGTGAGGCCAAAACTAAATAAATAAATAAACAAAATAAACTCTCAGGCCCCCAAAATTGAGAGTAGTGACCATAATGTGACTGAAAAATCTTTAAAGGGAGCAAAGGGGCATGTCACTGGTAAGGGCCACTGTCACAAAATGACACCAGCAGTGACCGAGATCACGTCCACGTATCAACAGGGATGAGAAAAGCCAACGAGCACTTTCTCACCACCTCTCCCAAATCTCTAAAATCCACCCAGACTATTTCCGTTTCCTCGCTAGGATAGGCACCCCAAGCCCGAACTTAACACGGCCAAGTAAGGAGTAGCACTACCTGCCGTGAGCTGTGATTCTGAATGACTCTGCAGCACTGGGTCCTGGGCCTGTGAATTCGGCAGCGGTCCAGGCTTCCTCGGAAGGCTGCAGACCACCAGGAACAAGTCTCAAGACTGTTGCCGCGGAGTCTGCGCACAAAAATTGCCCCTAGATGTGCCCAGAGAGGAGGTTCTGCAGAAGCGTAAGTCAGGCAAACTGCTTCTGAAAATGGTGGACGATAAAGAAGCAAAGAGGGCTTCCCTGGTGGCGCAGTGGTTGAGAGTCCGCCTGCCGATGCAGGGGACGCGGGTTCGTGCCCCGGTCCGGGAAGATCCCACAGGCCGCGGAGGGGCTGGACCCGTGAGCCATGGCCGCTGAGCCTGCGCGTCCGGAGCCTGTACTCCGCAACGGGAGCGGCCACAACAGTGAGAGGCCCGCGTAAAAAAAAAAGAAGGAGCAAAGAATGAGCCTTGGACACAGGGTTATGAGTTTCTATGTCAAAAGCAAAGAGCGAGTCCCGGTGCGGGGGGTAGGTGGGGAAGTGGGCTCCTAATCTAACCACCTCCCAGTTTGGCCATCCTTCCATTCGGTCTACCAGGTTTTAGAGGGGGCTTCCTCAGAGGATAGAACCGCCCACGCACTGCACCACGGCAAGAGCTACCTAACCAGCCTCCAGGTTGGCCTTGTCTCGTGTTGGCCTAATACATTGTCTTTTGTCTTTCTGCAGTTACTTGCCAAATATGCAGAGCTTATTTTTTTATTTTATTTTTTTGGGGGTACGCGGGCCTCTCGCTGTTGTGGCCTCTCCCGTTGCGGAGCACAGGCTCCGGACGCGCAGGCTCAGCGGCCATGGCTCACGGGCCCAGCCGCTCCGCGGCACGTGGGATCTTCCCGGATCGGGGCACGAACCCGCGTCCCCTGCATCGGCAGGCGGGCTCTCCACCACTGCGCCACCAGGGAAGCCCCAGAGCTTATTTTTATTTGTCTATCTATTCACCTCATAATTTAGCACCAAAGCAAGTCTGTAGCCCAGGAACCATCCTCCCCGCACCTGAGGTACAAGTCTGATTTGGTTCTCACAAAAGGAAATTTCAGAATTCAGATGTTCCTGTCATTACAGATGCCATTTAAGAATCTGCAGACAAACAGAGTATCTGGATCCGTATTCCTAATAAGGGCATTGACAGCTCTCATTCACCGAGTGATGTGTTTGTAGCAGTGTTTGTTGCTGTTGATGCTTTAGGTACCCATGATCCATTCTGGGCTAATTTTATCTTTCTTCTTTATTTATTTTTAATAAATTTATTTTATTTATTTTTGGCTGCGTTGGGTCTTCGTTGCTGTATGCGGGCTTTCTCTAGTTGCGGCAAGTGGGGGCTACTCTTCGTTGCGGGGCACAGAGCACGGGCTCTAGGCACGTGGGCTTCAGTAGTTGTAGCATGCGGGCTTAGTAGTTGTGGCTCACGGGCTCTAGAGCGCAGGCTCAGTAGTTGTGACGCACGGGCTTAGTTGCTCCGCGGCATGTGGGATCTTCCCGGACCAAGACTCGAACCCGTGTCCCCTGCATTGGCAGGTGGATTCTTAACCATTGTGCCACCAGGGAAGCCCTATATTTCTTCTCTATAAAGTAATGTTTTGAATGCTTTGCTCCTTCCCCAAATGCACTGGAAATTAAAACACGATTTGAGTGCTTCTTCAATCAAATGAGGGGGAAAAGCCGCCTTACTAAATAATTGCTAATTATGGACAGGACTGCACTTGCCATATGCTGTTTTCCCCTTGAAATGCTGTCTCTGAAGCAGCTTTGCTCGTGCCCATATTACGACTTACCAGAATCCATGGACAATCTTCTGCTTGGCTATGAATGCCTGGAAAAAACCAAAAAAAGGTACGGTCCTGAGACCTGAGACACTCACTGCAGAGCCCCTCACGATTAAGCAGCCAGGCAAATCAGGCAGGAAATCGGTAGCGACGTGGAAAGTCGAGGAGACCCAGTTGGAATGAAAACCACTCTCTCAAGTGGAGTGTTTTGCACGTTTGTGGTCACTACCTCTGCTTTTGCTCCCCTCCGCCATTCGCGAGTGCCGGCTAACGGTGTGTCCTCTCTTTGCAGTCCATGGTGCTTCTGCTGCATAGCCAGCGGCAGTACATCTTCGAGTACGACATGTGGGACCAGCTGTCGGCCATCACCATGCCCAGCGTGGCTCGCCACACAATGCAGACCATCCGCTCCATCGGCTATTACCGTAACATATACAACCCCCCGGAGAGCAACGCCTCCGTCATCACGGACTACAACGAGGGGGGGCTGCTTCTCCAGACGGCCTTCCTGGGTACGAGTCGGAGGGTCTTATTCAAGTACAGGAGGCAGACCAGGCTCTCAGAAATCTTATACGATAGCACGAGAGTCAGCTTTACCTACGATGAAACGGCAGGAGTCCTCAAAACGGTAAACCTCCAGAGCGATGGTTTTATTTGCACCATCAGATACAGGCAAATTGGGCCTCTCATTGACAGACAGATCTTCCGCTTCAGTGAAGATGGGATGGTGAACGCAAGATTCGACTACAGCTATGACAACAGCTTTCGGGTGACCAGCATGCAGGGTGTCATCAATGAAACTCCGCTGCCCATTGACCTCTATCAGTTCGATGACATTTCCGGAAAAGTGGAGCAGTTTGGAAAATTTGGAGTTATATATTATGATATTAACCAGATCATTTCCACAGCTGTAATGACTTACACGAAGCACTTTGATGCTCACGGCCGCATCAAGGAAATTCAGTATGAGATCTTCAGGTCACTCATGTACTGGATTACAATTCAGTATGATAACATGGGTCGGGTAACCAAGAGAGAGATTAAAATAGGGCCCTTCGCCAACACTACCAAATATGCTTATGAGTATGATGTTGACGGACAGCTCCAGACAGTTTATCTAAATGAAAAAATCATGTGGCGCTACAACTACGACCTGAACGGAAACCTCCATTTACTGAACCCAAGTAACAGCGCACGCTTGACGCCTCTTCGCTATGACCTGCGGGACAGGATCACCCGACTGGGTGATGTTCAGTACCGGTTGGACGAAGATGGTTTCCTGCGTCAGAGAGGCACAGAGATCTTTGAGTACAGCTCCAAGGGGCTTCTGACCCGAGTGTACAGTAAAGGCAGCGGCTGGACCGTGATCTATCGTTACGACGGCCTGGGAAGGCGTGTGTCTAGCAAGACCAGTCTGGGACAGCACCTGCAGTTTTTTTACGCGGACCTCACTTATCCCACCAGGATTACTCACGTCTACAACCATTCGAGTTCAGAGATCACCTCCCTCTATTACGATCTCCAAGGACATCTTTTTGCCATGGAAATCAGCAGCGGGGACGAATTCTACATCGCGTCAGACAACACAGGGACACCACTGGCTGTCTTCAGCAGCAACGGGCTTATGCTCAAACAGATTCAGTACACCGCATACGGCGAAATCTATTTTGACTCCAACGTTGACTTTCAGCTGGTGATTGGATTTCATGGTGGCTTGTATGACCCACTCACAAAATTAATCCACTTTGGAGAAAGGGATTATGACATTTTGGCAGGACGATGGACAACGCCTGACATAGAAATCTGGAAAAGGATTGGGAAGGACCCAGCTCCCTTTAACCTGTATATGTTTAGGAATAACAACCCTGCAAGCAAAATCCATGATGTGAAAGACTACATCACAGGTAAGTGTAATTGTTTTTCCTTTCCAAGTACTTTAATCACTGGATTAACCACGAAATAACGGCCGGTAGTTTAACAGTACGCTTCCCTCATGCAAAATCAAATGCCTAAACAAAAAATCAAATGCCTAACCTTTTAAATGAAACCAAGGAGAAACCACAGAGGGACACTGAGACATAGTTCGTTGTTTCCCATTCTGCCTGCCAGTGCCCAAGACCACAGGTTTCTGAAATGACATGCAATCCAGTCACTTAAGGAAGGGAAGGGACATGGGGGTGCAGAAAACACGAGGAACTTGGAGTCCCCAAATTGGAGTTCCAATTCCAACGCTTTATAGCCAAGTCACATGACTTTTTGAGTCTGTTTCCTTAAAAGTAAAATGGGGAGAGCAATGCCTACTTTGTGGTATTAAATACAGTGGCGTGTGCAGTTCTGCCTCACAAGTGTGTGAGGCAGGTTTTCCTTTTACACGTGTGTCAAGTTCTAATGAAGGAACCAGTAAGGAACACGACACCACACGACTCAGCAGCCCGTCCCTGGGAGGTGTGTTAACTCCCTCTTCCCCACTGTCGCCTGGGGGCAGTGATGCTTAGCCAGTGGATCCCGTTCCTCTCCTCAGTTCTGTCCTCTTATGCTACTGTCTTCATCACCAATGAGGGCAGTGTTCTTGTACGGTGGCACTGCTAATGAACACATAAGTTTTTCTGCCAATATGGGTATAGATTGAAGACCTTTCCAAATTTAGTGCATGATCCAATTTAAAACATTGAGTTCCCCTTCTGCCACCACAGAAGCACCAGGATGTGAAACAGAGACAAGTCCTTGCAAGCGTGACTCTGGTTCCCTTTAACGAGCAGCTTCTTTACTCTTTATTGAGGTAACATTGCTTTACAACATTATATGTTTCATGTGTACAACATTCTGTTTCTACTTCTGTACACACGACAGCGTCCTCGCCAACAAAAACTTATGTGACATCCGTCACCATACATAGTTGATGCCGTTTCCCCGCTTTGTCCTCCCCACCTCCTGGCCTTCTGGTAACCACTACTCTGTTCTCTATATCTACATGTTTGGTTTGGTTTGGTCATTTATTTGGTTTTTTTATATCATCTGAGTTAGGGGAATTCCCTGCTGGTCCAGTTGGTAAGACTCTTGTGTTTTCACTGCCAAAGGCCTGGGTTCAATCCCTGGTCAGGGAATTAAGATCCCACAAACTGCACAACGCGGCCAAAAAAAAAAAACATTGTTGTATCATACGAGTGAAGTCATACCATGTTTGCCTTTCTCCGTCTGAATTACTTCACTTAGCGTCATGCCCTCAAGGTCCAGGCATCCACGTTGTCACAAATGGCAAGATTTCATTTTTGTGTGACTAATATTCCATTTTGTGTGTGTGTGTGTGTACACATACCACATCTTCTTTATCCATTCATCTATTGATAAGCACTTAGGTTGTTTCCATATCTTGGCTGTTGTAAAGAATGCTGCGATGAACCTAGGGGTGATGTATCCTTTCGAATTAGTGTCTTTGTATTTTTTGGATAAATATGCAGAAGAGACTGCTGGATCCGATGGTGATTCTGTTCGTAGCTTTGTGAGGAACGTCCACCCTGTTTTCCTTAGCGGCTGTACAAGTCTACACTCCCACCCACAGCGCACGAGGGTTCCCTCTGGTGAGCCGAGATCTTCCCTCGTGCTCTGCTGCAGGGATTCTGAAGCCTTCTGTTTCCACCTTCCATTCCTGAGTCACACTCTGCCATAATTAACCTCTTGGCTATATTTATGTTTCCTAGAGGAAGGTTATTCTGGAGTTTTCTGTTTTGTTTGGTTTTGGCTCACGTCGGGTCCTCCTTCCGGCTGTCTGTTTCTCGCCCAGTGCTTGAGGCGTTCCCAGACGTCTGTTTTCGGCGCAGCTCTCCACCCCCGGTTCACTGCGCATCTGCCTCCCGCTTTCCTGGGCTTTTCGTAGCCCTCTCCCTCGTGAGCCAGTTCCATGTCCCTTCTCTCAGCGTCCTGATTCAGCAACAGCCTTATGGAATTCTCCTTCAGGGTTTTCCGTACTTATCTGCCTTCACGTCCCACTTGTTGGGCAGTAATTTTCAACACTTGATAGGAGCCTCTGATTTTCACTGCTTCACAGACATTGTTCATAGTAGGAGTACCTTTGCCCCCAGCACTGCCCCATCCAAAAAGAATTTTCTCTAACATACAAGCCCCCTGTAATCTTACGCACACATTCACACACACACACACAAGTGTGTTACTTTCTATCCTCCTCCACCACCAGCAACCCTCCATTTAAAACAGGGAGGACACCACTGGGTTTATAGCCTATATGATGCCTGCACAAAGGGACCTGCCAGCCTGGCAATGAAGTGAGAGTTTGTGCCCTGGAGAAGGAAATGGGGAACAAGTGGCCCTCCATCATTCTGACAAGCAGTTTACCACTGGTTATTTAAGAGGTGTTGACAGTGGCTGAAAGGCTGGAAAGCCCACAGCTCCTGGATTCATCCTCTCCTAGCGATGTGGACGGCAGGGAGTGCCACAGCAGCATTTTCTGAAAAACATCAAGAGAGATGGAGCAGCATAAAATATATTAGGTGAAATGCAATTTCAAGGTTTCCAGCAATGTGCTTAATATATAAAATAATCTACACCCAACTGTACTCATACAGCTGCAAGCCTGCTGCCTCGTTCTGTAACATTATAACCTCCGGAACAGAATCAAAGCCTTATTTTCAGCTTAACGGCTTTTGGAATCACGTGGTGATATTTTAAAATACCATCTTAAAGGTTTCCAGCCTCTTCTCTCCCCCAAAGTTTGTCTCCACCTGTGCACAGTGAGCCTGTGTAGTCAGAACTGATGGGATCAGAACGCCTGTGCCCTTGGCCAGCTTGGCCAGCTTTCACCATTCATCTTTAAGAATCAAGGTTGATCTTCCTACCCACAATTCAGGGTTCTTATTAATAGGAAATGGGTGGTGGAAGCCTGCATATCCTTGGGCAGTCGCTTTTGAACTTCTATTTAAGACAAGCCTTTACTAACTACCAATGCCATTTGTTGTCAACAACGCTGTCTGTTTCGTGCTTCTGGGCGTCGTTATTCGCATTTTTATCACCATCACCGCATGAGGGACCGTGTACCCCCTCTGTCGAGGTGAGTCTCTGTTATCTGCATTGTCTGCAGCCCTGTCTCACTTCGTTCTGCTACTGAAGTTATTGTCACCATGTCTGAAAATAGTATTTTTTAACATCTTTATTAGAGTATAATTGCTTTACAATGGTGTGTTAGTTTCTGCTGTATAACAAAGTGAATCAGCTATACGTATACATATATCCCCATATCTCCTCCCTCTTGCGTCTCCCTCCCACCCTCCCTATCCCACCCCTCTAGGTGGTCACAACGCACCGAGCTGATCTCCCTGTGCTATGCGGCTGCTTCCCACTAGCTATCTATTTTACGTTTGGTAGTGTATATATGTCCATGCCACTCTCTTTGTCACAGCTTACCCTGCCCCCTCCCCGTATCCTCAAGTCCATTCTCTAGTAGGTCTATGTCTTTATTCCTGTCGTATCCCTAGGTTCTTCATAACTTTTTTTTCCTTAGATTCCATATATATGTGTTAGCATACTATATTTGTTTTTCTCTTTCTGACTTACTTCACTCTGTATGACAGACTCTAGGTCCATCCACCTCACTACAAATAGCTCGATTTCCTTTCTTTTTACGGCTGAGTAATATTCCATTGTATATATGTGCCACATCTTCTTTATCCATTCATCCAATGATGGACACTTAGGTTGCTTCCATGTCCTGGCTATTGTAAATAGAGCTGCAATGAACGTTGTGGTACATGACTCTTTTTGAATGATGGTTTTCTCAGGGTATATGCCCAGGAGTGGGATTGCTGGGTCTGAGTCAGTTTTTAACTGTAGGGCGATGGCAAACGTGGGCTCCTTTTCAGGGTCATTGTTTGCGAATGTGGGGTTTTAAGGTAAGGCTTTCAGTGCAGGAAAGCACAAGATAAACTCTAAGCCTTTCATTTGGACCCTTCTTTTCTTAGATGTTAACAGCTGGCTGGTGACATTTGGCTTCCATCTGCACAATGCTATTCCTGGGTTCCCTGTCCCCAAATTTGATTTAACGGAGCCTTCTTACGAACTGGTGAAGAGTCAGCAGTGGGATGATGTACCGGTAAGAGACAAAAAGCAAAACCATGAAAAGGTGATAAAGGGCTTACTTGCACCTTATTTTCCCCTGCTTAATCAGACTACCCGGGCGAAAACTGTACCAAAGACCATTTTTAATTTTTTTGACTCTTTCAGGAAAGAAAGCACCACTTCCCTCTTGCATTTCTGTTCAGCAAATCAGGGGCCTGTGAAACAGGCTTAAATCTGGTTTTAGTGATGCTAATACAAACAGAGAAAAGCATTATCAAAAGGTAATAAAATGCGAAAGCTCATTTTTGAGTGCAGGGTTTCTACAGAGAACCCCAGGAACGCACATTTATAGTATTTGGGACCTTAAGGCAAAGATACAATAAACAGGAGGGCGGGGGGGTTCATGTCACAAATTAGCAGCTCGCAAGCAATGCCACAAAGTCCCACTTCCTTAAAATACTGGCAGTGTTTCAAGGGAAAGGATTAAAAATAAAAATAAAATGGCCTCTGGTAAGGCACCACCTACTACTAGGTGCTTATGGAATTTTCCTGAAAAGAACAGAGCAGGAAGCCTGGAACTGTTCTGGGAAATAAAAGAAACGGAGAAAGAATGGAAAATTGCAAAGTCAAAGCTGCCATTTCAGAAAGTGGCACTTTTAATTCCCACCATGCAGAGATCAGAAAGGAATGCAACAACGAAACACCAGAATTTCTAGCTTAAAGCAAGAATAATTAAAGGTCAAGAAATTGGGCTACCCCGTAATGATAAGAAGAGAGCGCAGAGTTTCTTAGAAAGATTCATTCCCCACCCCCACCCCCGCCCCTTGACCAATTTCCTAGAATTTCAATGAATACAAAGAGAAAAGGCAATCCTGGCTAAAACACACATACACAAGTTATACACAGTTCCAATACCTCTGCTTTCTGGTACATGTTTCATGCTTAACATAAAAGCAATTCCTTTTTCAGATGTCACCTTTACATTTAAAAAGTAAAACCCATCCAGTTTCCAGGACCTGGGAGCCATTTTGACTCTAACTGCAAATACATCTGCACTGATCGAGTGCCATGAAGACATCCTGAAGTCTACTAATGCCTTTGAGCACGTCCTAATGGCAGATGACTTCCCAACATGTCTGAAAACACTGAAGTCTCACTGTACAAATGGACTGCCAACTCTTTTTCCTAGGCAGCCTTTTCAGTCAGGCTCAGGTTCTCTGTCTTCAGAAGCACACCATAAGGACAGCTTAGGGAATCGAAGGCAAAGACATCAAGGCTGCCCAGAGAGCAGACAAACAAATGTGCCTTCACTGCTGCAAACGAAACACGTTTCCATTTGGGGAAACCCTGGCCAGACAAACATCTGGTGGTATAAGAGCTGCCCGAGTTAAAATTCCCCAATTTAAAACCCTTGCCAATGTCGAAGGCCCACTGTCTCCTAAGTCTGCGAAAAAAAATAAATGTTTTCCTAAAGTAATAAACACTCGTTGCCAGCTGTCCCACTGTGCGCCGCCCATCGTGGCCGATTATAGTGGTCACATGCAGCTGCAAACTGTGCACCCGGAGACGGTGCCGAGTTTGCTTGAATTAAAGCACACGCCTTTCAAAGCGTATCAAGTGGGGCGCGGTGAGCCAGCGCTAAGCGCTCCCAGGCTTTCCAGCCTTCCCCTGGGTGCTGGTGCTTTCTCGCCAGCCTGCCATGGAGAACGGTGCTGGGGTGGACGCCCCGATAAGCTGATTCCGCACGTGGGGTGAGCCTGGGAAAAGGGCATCTGGAAACGGAGAGAGAAGGCAAAAGCCCCGCATGCTTCGCCCCCATTAGAAAGGAAAACGCTTTGCTAAGCACCGCGCGTGATGGCGTTACCACCTCGCTCTGCCCTTCGAAACACACTGGGGATCAGCCTGAGGGGGAGGACCCCGGGGGCCGGCGAAGCCTCGGCCTCTCTCAAGAGCCGACGGAGGTTCTCCCCAGCCCCCCGCTCCCCGCCTTCCCCGCCCCTCCGTTTTTCCTGCCCGCAGCCGGAGCCCCGCCCGGGCGGAGGCTGTTCTCTAAAGCGCCCTCCTGTTCTGTTTCGCTTTTCAGCCCACGTTTGGAGTCCAGCAGCAGGTGGCGAGGCAGGCCAAGGCCTTCCTGTCCCTGGGCAGGATGGCCGAGGTGCGGGGGAGCGCGCGCCAGGGCAGCGGCGCGCCGTCGTGGCTGTGGTTTGCGACGGTTAAGTCGCTGATCGGCAAGGGCGTCATGCTGGCCGTGAGCCGGGGCCGCGTGCAGACCAACGCGCTCAACATCGCCGACGAGGACTGCATCAAGGTGGCAGCCGTGCTCAACAGCGCCCTCTACCTGGAGGACCTGCACTTCACCGTCGAGGGCAGGGACACGCACCACTTCATCAAGACCAGCACGCCCGAGGGCGACCTGGGCACGCTGCGCCTGACGAGCGGCCGCCGGGCGCTGGAGAACGGCATCAACGTGACCGTGTCGCAGTCCACCGCCGTGGTCAACGGCAGGACCCGCAGGTTCGCGGACGTGGAGCTGCAGTTCGGCGCGCTGGCGCTGCATGTGCGCTACGGCGCGACCCTGGACGAGGAGAGGGCGCGCGTGCTGGAGCAGGCGCGGCAGCGCGCGCTCGCCCGGGCCTGGGCGCGCGAGCAGCAGCGCGTGCGCGACGGCGAGGAGGGCGCGCGCCTCTGGACGGAGGGCGAGAAGCGGCAGCTGCTGAGCGCCGGCAGGGTGCAGGGCTACGACGGCTACTACGTGCTCTCGGTGGAGCAGTACCCCGAGCTGGCAGACAGCGCGGACAACATCCAGTTCCTCCGCCAGAGCGAGATCGGCCGCAGGTAACGCCCGAGCCGGCGGCGGGGAAGCGCGCGCGCGCGCGGGGGCCGAACCGGCGGGGCCGCCTGCCTCTCCAGCCCCAGGCGCAGCGCCACCCCCGCGCAGATGTGTCTGGGGCGCGAGCCGAGGGGGCTCCCCGGCACCGAGGAGAGCCAGACTGCTCTTAAAAAAAAAAACAACACCCCCCCCCAATCAAAGCAGACAGACAAAAACAAAACCTTTCTTCTGAATGACCTTAAAGGTGATCGGCTTTAAAGAATATGTTTACATACGCATATAGCTGCACTCAGTTGGACTGAAAGTATTGCGAGGAAAACAGATCATTAAAGGAAAAAAAAAAAGCCCAACCATTTTGCCCCGGGCCGTTCTTCGAGGCACTGTGTTTAAAGAAGGTAGAGATGCATACAGTGTTTCCAGATATTACCCAGCTGTCGACCTTTGCTTACAAGAAGTAGTCTCTCTGCATAGGGTGTGATGTATATCCCTGTCAATGTTAGAATGTGAGGCAGAGTTACTGTTCCTGGACAACCCGACTGCTTCCCCAGTGCTGCTTTGTAAAAGGACATTGGCACAAGTGACTTCTGCCGGGGGCGGGGATTTCTAAGGGATTTTACGAGGCCAACGTGGTGTGCCTCGCGGAGAAAAACACCGGCCCACACAGAATCCTTGTCACTGATGATGAGCAAAGGAAGCCCTGATTTTTTTGTAAATTATGTGAGACAAGTTGTTTATGGATTTTTATATGAATTACAATTTACTGTACATCAAATATTAGTCTCAGAGGAGTTAATTTATGTAAAGTGTTTAAAAGGTTTATACTTAAAAATAAAACGATAAAAACATGTGAACTGTGTGATTTTTTAAAAAGGATTGCACCTTTTGTTATCTGTTATAGCTGTACAGTATAAATTATTATATTGTAGAGATATAACGACTTATGCCTATAATGTCCGGAAGTGTTAATATTTTTGTATCAGGTTGAAAAAAATGTGCCACCTTCTATCGCTAGACCGGTAGGACAGTGCAGTCCTACGTGGGTGGCTGGCTCATCAGAGAACTTCTCCTTTCTCTTCTCTTTTTCATCAGGCCAGTGTCCTCGACCGTTATCAGCTAAGAGGCACGGTAGAAAACTAAGGCTGGTGGAATGTAACGGAAGATACAAACACAAAAACAAACAAACAAAAACAAAACAACAAAAACAACCAAAATGGGGTGGGAGGAGTTCTCTGGCCCTCTCTCGGCCCTGGAAGTCCGTGGGGAGTTGGTGTCGTTAACCCCAGGGTTCTACTGTTAGCGTTCCTTGAAGCCTCATTTCGTGATGGAGGCGAGAGACCCCGTCGGGTGCTCGGGAAACCTTTGTGAGCAGGAAAGGGGCTGATGCAGTCGTGACCACAAACATGTGTCTTCAGATCCAGGGAAGCGAGCAGAAACCGAGCAGTGGTGAGAGAGCCAGATGGGGAAGGTCAGGGTCCCTCGGCCGGTCTCGAGTTTGGACCCTCGGGTCACCAAGAGGGACAAGAAAGGGAGGCAAAAGCTGCCCTAAGCCCGCACGACGCAGCCTGCCCGGGAGCTGGTTTGAACGGCAGCCTCGTCTGTCTCTGGGACGCCGGGTGTGGCAGCCGCCGCGGGAAATGACCTGGCAGCCGGGCCGCGCGCCCGCGCGCCGAGCACCCGCACTTCCGTGCGCCTCTGGCCGCTCTGGCTCGTCTCTTTCGTGAGCGCGCAATTCAGCCGCAAAGATATTTGCAGAAAACCTTTCTCAGTTCATTGGGCTATCGTACACGCTGTCTTCCTCTATGTATAACGGCGGTAAAACATAGCTGAGTGAACATGTCGCACATATAAAGGTCCAGGCGATGTACTGGAGATAACGTTCTAACTGCTTTGTATCACGTACTCTAAATTGCACAGTAGGCGTGTTGGCTGGGAAAGTTCAAGATAGCTACTGAGTGTCCAGTAGCAGTGCTATCACCGTCTGTGTGTTTGGTAGCTACCGAAGTAATTAATCTGATGAATGCCGATATTTTAGTAGAATGAAAGCACAGAGTAGCAGTACTATTTTTTATCCTGGAAATCCTTTGGCGAGTATTATGAAGCCCAAATTTAGAAAACTATGAGATTTCAAACCACATACACATGGCTCTGTTCTACATTTTATTTTCTACCTGTTGACATAGGTGTTTGCAGCTCTGTTCCACGGCGTCTCTGCAGGGCTGCATTTAGCATGCTGTAAGTACTTTTGGTTGAAAGAGGCTCTGAGCCTAAATTCTCCGAAGTGTTTCTAATGTATTGGCCATGGAAAGCTTGTACCACATGACCGTAGTGGAGTCACAGCCTTACCCTCCTCTTGACGTGGACTCTGGTCCTTCACACTGGCACCGCTGAGTAACAGATTTGGAGTATCTCCTGGTGCTTATTTTAGATGAAGTCAAATCAACCCAATTAGTGTCTTGTTAGCGGGTATAATGAGCTATTTCTTTGTCAAAAGACTTGTGATCTGGACATGGTTTTACGAGAAATAGTGACCTTGGGGAATATGTAAACAAAAGACCTTTTTCTAAGAGTTGGCAGGGAGGTGGGGGACTGTGTAATGAAAAGAATTCGCTTACAAAAGAGAAATGAATATTCAAAGTATTTTAGGCGCAGCCAGTCAAAACGCTCTCGTGATATTTTGAGATGTAACTCTGGTCTGATTTGTATTGTTCTTCTCATCCGCCTTCTTAACTTTATATGTGACCTGATTCTCCATGACTTGATGACTATAGACTGCATCTAGGCATTCCAATAAAAGCCAACCCAACGTGTGTGTGTGTTTATATATTTTTTAAAACCTTGGGCCAGCCAGGATGGCTTTTGTGTTTTGGGGGTGGAGGATGTAAACAGATGCAGTTGTTGCGGTATTGGTTCATCTGCAACCAGTTGATCATATCTTTTCTTTTCTTTTCTAATTGTGGTGTCCACCGGCCACATGGCCTGTTCAACGGTGTGCGCTTCACGGGGAACCCTTCCCGTGGCCTGCTTTAGGAAAACGTTAAGGGCGCCCCTACAAAGCCAAACATTATCACTGTGAAGAAGGAGAAGGAAGAACACATACTACCCGTTACTCCTTGACAGCAGGCCTCACTCCTGTGATCCTGGCAATAAGTGCTCAATTAAAACTCTTGATTAGAACAATCAGTTTGGGCCTGGTAGGCTCCCAGCGTCCTGGAGATGTCTCCATCTACATCTAGAGCGCCTTGTTTAGGGGGTGCTTAGATCAGCGATCCCAGGCTGGCCAGCCAAGGCTTTTGAGTTTAGTCTGAAAAGGCAGGCTTCATCACACTGGCTTTGTAGTGACAGCCTCAGCTTGATAACGTTGATCCAGAAGAGGAAGAAGCAGGTCACTCCACTCAGCCGAAGGGTCTATTTTTTTCTCCTCGAATTAGAGGCTAACACACTCAAAACGGGGGTAAGCCAGAAAAACACATGCGGATTCCTGCTTTCACTCTCTACACTGCTTTCCCCAGAAGTCATGTCTGAATGCAGGCAAAGAAGAACGTTGTAGGTGAAAATTGTATCTTCAGAGCGGAGTCTTCTGGGCAGGGGGTATGCGGCTGCCGCATCCTGTGAAATGTGCATTCAGGTGTTTACATGCATCGCACGTTACACAACCATCGCGTGTGGTTTCAAGTGTGGACCTGCGCATAAGTACAATACCTGCCTATAACCACCTTGAACTGGCACCAGTCCCCCAGCGCTTTAAAGATGAGGGGAGACCCCTGCCTGTGATGCTGCCCTAGCCATGCCCACCGCGCTCTCTATGCACCACCTTTTCTTTCTCCTTTTATCCTGGCCTGCTCCCAAGTGAAGCCCTTTCTCTCACCCGCTGAACAGCAAATCAGCTGTCTGAGGTGCTTTTTAAAATTTTATTTATTTATTTATTCAAACATCTTTATTGGAGTATAATTGCTTTACAGTGGTGTGTTAGTTTCAGCTGTATAACAAAGTGAATCAGTTATACATATACATATGTTCCCATGTGTCCTCCCTCTTGCGTGTCTCCCTCCCTCCCACCCTCCCTATCCCACCCCTCTAGGTGGTCACAGAGCACTGAGCTGATCTCCCTGTGCTATGCGGCTGCTTCCCACCAGCTCTCTGTTGCACGTTTGGTAGTGAGGTGCTTTTGCATGCAGGGCTCCAGAAGACGCAGCGGGAAGGCACTGATCCGCACCGTGCTCGCTCTGTGGCAAAACCCACCTGGGCAGCGCCCACAGCCGCGCACTTGCTATAGTGCGAAGGAGGAGAAGGCCCCACCCCCCCCCCGGGCCAGGATCGGCCCCTCCCTCCCCATCCCCGGCCTCAGGTGCCATCTGACCTCCTGCAGAGTGCAGCCAGCCCACCCCTGGGAGTACATGAAGGACCGCAGAGCTCTTCCCCCTTCTACGGGTACCCAGATAGATTCTACCCCACTTTCCTTCCAAGGGGTGAGCTGATTTCCAGCACCCTTTAAAATGCATCAAATTCTAGAAGTGGGAATCAGAAGGGATTTAGAGAAGTTTGAATGAGTTGCCCAAGTTCACAGTAGTGGCTCAAACCCAGGTGAGCAGAGATGCCGTGTCAGCAAGTACCCTCCACTGTATCCCGTAGTCTCCCAATGACACCACCCAGGAAATACTGGCAACACTCCTTACCACTGCCATTGCCTCGGGGCATGGGTCTTTCCAAAGCTGCCATAATCTGGAGTCATGACATGCGTTTTTCGTTATATAAAGATGCCCCCGACCCTCGAACAGGGCATGTGTCTTGAATCCGACACTGCCCGCCAATGTTTCTAGCTCTTCAGCCCCCCTCACCGTAGATAAGAAAGTCTGCCATGCAGTGTTAATGACTTCCTAATTTCTAAAACAACTTATAAAAGAGAGACCACTGCTTTGCATATATGCACGTGTTGGGCTATTTATCTAGATTTTCCCTACACTATTCATCTGGCTTTGGTCATCTTACCAAGACAATGAAAAAATAAAAATTGGTTATAAGTCATTATTACCCACTTTAACCACGGAGTTAGCCAGAGTACCGCAGAGGTAGTGATAAGCCATTTGGGTTTTCTGCCACATAACGAATATCCTCTCTTGCCAGAGTCCTCATTTGCTATTCGCCACCTCGGCGAGCATGGGCTCTTAATGTCAGTTAATTACGAATAACGTTTGGGTAAATTGAGTAAAAACCTTTTCATTGATGCACTGACTTAAAACTCTGTCATGGAGGAATACAGGATTCCTAGAGTCTCCTATAGAGAGAATTTACTATAAACGGATCGTAAGCCTAGAGTAACATCATTATTCAGCTCAGAGTTAATGGGGTCCACAAAGCGAATTTAATATATCCTTCCGGGACCTAAGCTGAGGAAAATTAAAAATTAGACGCGTAAATTGTGACTTCTGGGGCAAGGCAGTGTCTTGGTTACAGCCTTCCTGCTCAGAAGGTGAATCGTGAGCTGGGCCCTAAGGCAGATGTTCAGCCTGCATTTAGGAAGGGGAATTGCCACCTTCTGCATGTGTGCTGAGATTACCCGGATTCCACCCACAACGGCTATTTCTGTCCAGCATGACTCACTGCACAGAAATGACAGGATTTACAAGTGGCCCACTGGGTCAAAATGAATTCTTAAAAATTCTCACATGTTAACTTTATCAGTGGTCTGTGAGGGGAGCATAAATACCCAAGGAGTTAAAATGACAAGTTCTTTGACGTGACTGAAAGGCTGGAAATGGAACACTGGAGTGTGTGAAGAAGCACACAAAAGGCTCCCATGGACCTCGAGTTCTTATCACAGAAGTGATTAATGACCACAGAGGTGAAGAAACTACCCTACCCCCAATTTTCCTCCAGAATGAGTGCTAGGGAGATTCTAGTCTACCTGTTCTACAGAAAATTCTAGAAAAATCATCCTCAGGACTCCTGGCTCTATACCCATCACCCATGATGCTCTTCCAGAGAGCTCGCGTTCCTCTCCCCCCTCCCCCCCCCCCCCCCCCCTCCCTTCTCCTCCTTCCCCCCCCCCCCCCCCCCCCCCACCCCACTCACTGGATCTACCCTTTACCACCTGGTAGAAGCTGTCTAGGTTGCAATCAACGCAGGCTGTGTCTAGCCAGGTATCTTTCTAAGGCTTAGGAGGAAACCCATAGACTCCCTGGTAGACCAGATGGACGATAAATAATTACTCAGGACATCACAGGAAACTAGAGTTCTTTGTCCTCAACTTACTTACAAAAAGTTATAAACAAGCAGATTTTAAAATCTCCTCACTTCAGCTATGACATGATTTCTAGGTTGGACCCTGTAGCCAAAAAAACAAAAGAAAAGAAAGAGAAGCCCTGGGGTTTATGCTCCTGGCTCAAGCATGGACAGGTGCCACTGCAGAGCAGAGAGCAGATGCAGAGATGACGCAGAATGGGGGGGAGTGGTCAGGGCCGGCCTGGCTCGGAGGGGCGTGGCATGTGGGCAGTAGCAGAGGGAAGAGCTCCTGCCCTACGTTCACCCCCCAGCGTGGGGCTGCCCTCTTGCCTTCCCTTCAATCAAAGCAGCGGCGCCGGGACCAGCTCCCGCCACCCTCTAGCCCTCTCCCTGGTCAGGCCAGTTCCCATTAGCCTCTACTTTCCCATCTTTGCTCTGCGCACGGAGTTTCACACATAAAACGATTACTTCTGCTTCATGCACCGCCTCACTGAGGCCTGGTCCTTGCAAACATCGCTCCCGTAAGATTTCCCTTCCCGTCAAGCAGAAACTTTGTTAAACAATGTTCCTCTCGCTTCGCAGATCAAAATAAGGCCCTTCCTCCCAGGAATTGCCTGCGGGCTGTTTGAGTTTTGCAGCCCCCCAAAAACAGTGGTTTCTGAACTATCACATTGTTTCCCTTTTACTTTTCATGTTTGAACAGTCCTGTCGCTCTGAAGAACCTCCCAGAAGGACAGGTCATTTAAATTCAGAGTGGCATGTTTATTTCCGAGGGAGCCAGGCTCTCACCGTAAGTGCTAGAGTGACAGCTGGGAGGGGTGAACTCCCTGAAGCCCCTCGGGGGCAGCTGAGGCCTAAGCAGGGCCCGCCGGCCCTCCACCTGGCCTCCCGGGCGGTGGGGACGTCCGTCTCCCCCGTCTGCCAGCCCACAGTGGCCACGGGGGAAAGAATCCAGGGTTCAACCTTCTTGGCCCATGTTGTCACCCAAAGGAGCCAACGGACGCTCCTTTCATATGGCAGCCTGCACTGGTGTCCCTGGAGGCCTCTGGGGCCCCCAGACATAGCAGCCCCCTCTTTTCCCCACCCAAGTTTTCACGGAAATGAGGAAAAAGATCAAAGTTGGCATGTGAAAGTGCGAGCATCACCTTAGATAAAAGTGAAAAGCAGGGCTTCCCTGGTGGCGCAGTGGTTGAGAGTCCACCTGCCGATGCAGGGGACGCGGGTTCGTGCCCCGGTCCGGGAGGATCCCATATGCCGCAGAGCGGCTGGGCCCGTGAGCCATGGCCGCTGAGCCTGCGCGTCCGGAGCCCGCGCTCCACAACGGGAGAGGCCACAACAGTGAGAGGCCCGCGAACTGCAAAAAAAAAAAAAAAAAGTGAAAAGCAATACGGATACCAAAATCAGGTAGAGAGACGTCCCGCACTTTGCTGTGAGTGCTGGCCTGGGCGGCCCTCACCTGGGGGCAGTGAGGCCCAGTTCGCCCCACGAGCCCAGTCATACTCCCCAACTCACCAGGAAGGGTAAGCTGCCCTCCTGCCCCACTGGAGCGACGGGGAGAGAGCGGTCAGGCGCGAGATCTCTCTCACTC